TCAGAATATGGCTAATTTGCTTTTTTGACTAAACATACGATCAAAACCGCCTTGAATTTGAAAAGCTAGTAAGTTCGATGAACATTGCTGTAGTTGTGTAGTTTTTAGTAAAAGGTGCACTAGGTATTTACGGACTTTTATTCATGAATACTTTATGTATAAGACTTTATTTCTTTTATGAAAATAACCCTAATCGTATGCCTACGAGTATACAAATGTTTTTATATTTATTTGTTGAGCAATGTTAGGTACTGGTCAATATTTGTTCAGATGACAACAGGCGAATAGATAAATATGAAAATGTAAACTGTGGGCAGATGTACAAAATCATTTACTGAAATGAATATGTTATTCTCCTTACGACAAATTCTAGAGTGCATAAGCGATATGATGATTACACAATGCAAACACGTTTATTGTTTGAACATAAATCTATTTCACAGTGCATGACTTACCACTACCTACTTTATATTGGCGTTGATATAAATCGCGACTTTTCTTGAAAATATTGACGATTTTCTTTTAAAAAATTAGACATTTTGTGACTTATTATAAATACTTAATTTTCTATATTTCTGCACTTTTTTATTTCTTGAAAATCGTTGCTAAAGTAATTTATTAAATAATTCGTATTTATTTTTTACCAATTATGAACAGATTATTTTTAAAAATGTATATTTTTTATTAACTCTCATATTTTTACATTATTTTAAAGAGATTAGATATCTTTTCCATAGACATCCTAGATGTCTGATGTATTCAAAAATTTTTACAATAAAATTGAATTATTTTAAATTAGAGTAAAATATACTAGAGTAAATAATATTTAGAATGTGTTCTGAAAAAGTATTTAGCTAATTTAAATAAACTAAAAAAAATCCTGTCAAATTAAATCAAATAATATTCTTTCATACCTAAATTTTCAAAATCAACGAGCAAAATTTGACTTCATTTGACAAGATTTTAGATTCTCTGTATATGTAGAGCAAAATTTCTGTCATACGACTGAGAAAAACATGATATCGACGTTTCTTTTCTTTTTAATTACAGTTATAACGGATGTTTTTCACTAATTTTAATTTTTTATTGAATTAACAGTATTCAGTGTCTAGGTATAACACAACGAATTATTTTCTATTTTTTTATCATTACCTTACTATTACATTACCTTAGAAAAAAGGTTAAAATAAAAAATTATTGGTATCACATTTTTACTGTCGCCATATCCAATGAAGAAACAAGAAATTTGCAACGCAATTTTGTGAGGTTACATTACATTTTTACATTAGAAAATAATATTTTTTATAAACATTTAGATTATCTCCAAAACCATGCATAATATTTATAAGCCAATTAAAAAACACACATTTAAAAAAATCTTCCTGCGCCCTTTTTCAAAAAATCATAGCGGTTCTGTAAAAATCATAAGGGCTCCTGGCAATAAGTCAAAATTCCATTTAAATACAAAGCTAAGTTTTAAACTTTAAAAATTGACTTTCTAAACCCTTTTTTGTTAATAACTTTCGGAGAGACAGGAGGTTAAAGTTATGCATTATTTCCCTTGACGGGATAAAAAATAGAATTTTGCAAAAATTATTGGGCGTACAGCCCATCTTTCGCACAGTTTTGAAAAACGATAAAACTCACAACTTTTAGGCATAATTATAAAATTCCAACAAATAACAACCAAGTTATGGATAATTTAAAAAATGCTGTTTGGCAACGTTTTTTTTTGTTTTTGCGCACATTTCGTCTGTTATACACTTTTCCCTAAAATCAACAGTTTTCCAATACATTGGAAAATCTGATTTTCGACCAGAATTGTTTAAACAAAACAATGTTGCTAATGAAAAAAATTGACTCACGAGATGAGAGACCTTTTCTACCCCTGCAAATTTCATCGATTTTTTAGTCAATTTACTGCTATAGCGACGCGTCTATTGACATAGTGTGTAACTTTTTTAATTACACATTACAAATAATTATTTATAGAATTAAGATTTATTGAAGTTTCATCTAAGCCTACTTATTTATGCCTTTAAAGAACCTACGACGATGACAAAATTGATAAAAAAAAATGGATGTGATTTTTGTATATGCATGTTTTAAACTACTTACTAAAATCTGATTAACTTGAAAAAATTAATAACTAAATTAAAGCTTTACGAACAATTCCATTGGTCCAGGGAACCTTTTCAGAGGGATGTTTGCGTTTAAATATCTCTACTGTTATTCTGAAACACATAATCATATAATGGACTACCTTTTAATATTCGACACGGAGAATATTCAGAATATTGGTATAAAATTTCAAATCCTCTTATAAGCCAACAAACTTAACCAAAAAGAACGATATACGAATTATATGGAGTGTAAAGGAATATCGCAAACATTGATTCACGAGAATCAATCAAAGCAAACATAAATAGAAACAGTATTTTACAGTCTCTTAGTGAATGATTTTTACAAGAGCATGCACTCTATTATTACATTACACCAATTCCAGTTTTTCTTGTTTACTTTTAATTTAAACGTTTTTATGTACCAAAGGAAGCTTAATATCTCTTTATGAAAGACACTTATTTTATTTCGGATCTAATATTTTCCTTTGTTTAATATGGTTCATATTTAATTTTGTTTTCAGACTTCACCAGAAACATTTGTTTTAATTTCTATACATACAAGTCTAATAATCTTAATTACCTACCTCCTCCTTCTACTATATCTTTAATAAACTGCTACTAAAATTTATTACAATGTAGTTCTTAATCAGCTACTTACGATTTGCAATGAGAATTATTCTGGGTTCTACCAAAAAAGTTTGGAAAACACATTATTTAAGCCTTCTTTTCCAGATTTAAATTGAGTTTACTAAAAACATTAATCAAATGTTATTTGAAACACAAAACCTAAAGAATAATAATACTAAAAATTATTGTTTCAAGTTTACTAATATCAAACATGTATTCCTCCGTTATTTGAAACTCGTAAAACCCCAACATTTTTAAGTTCATTGGTGTTTGGCCATTTTAAACATGTTTCTGGCGTATATGTGTTTACTGGGTTAGATTTATTAGATAGATATAGATAGATATTAATTTGACCACTGTTTACATCATACAAATATGGTACGTCAATTTTCAGTTTGAGCTGTAAAACAGTTGGTGACAGTGGTCGCAGAGATCAGCATTGACTAAAATGCTAATTATTTTCTTCTGTTGGTGTAAAACTTTTCCGGCCGCACTGGAATTACTCCACAAAATGAAAGTAGGTATATGAAATGTGCTAATGAAATAAACTAGAATAGATACCACGTAAGATATTAAAAAACACATGTAACTGTCTAAATGAAAATATTATAATTGACAACATTTACATCATCTTTGCAGGGTGAATCTGCATCAATATTATAATAATATATTATAATAAATGAACTATTATTATTATTGTTGGTCATATTATTAGACAGAAACAATTTCTGGGTTGAGTTTTAAATTATTTGCAGAAAACCAATATATTGCCATCTCATCAGTACTTACCCACACAAAGTCCATCAAGGATTCCTAACTGACATTTGTATCAAACAGAGTTGTACCATCAGCAAAGAGAATGTATTTTTGTCGACATAAGATGTATAAAGTCATTTACATAAATGAAAAATAAAAGTGGTCCTAGTACGGAACCCTGAGGTACTCTACATCGAACTAATTGAATGCTACAGTTAATATCATTAATTGGAACAAATTGTTTACGATTTTTTAAATACGATTGCAGTAATAGAGCTGGTAGACCCCTTACCCCATAATAGTCCAATTTTTAAATTAATATATTGTGTGAAACACAGTCGAATGCCTTGGTTAGACCACAAGCTATAATAGCACAATGTAAACCTTCCTTTAAAGCGAGCATGGGTAGTAGAAAGGCCACTTCTAAAACCAAATTGACATACATCTATCAAAAGATTACTTTAAAAAAAAATTGGAAAGCCTTTGCTTTAGAATAGTTTCTACAATTTTTCCAAAAAAAAATACAGGAATGAATAGAGTTAGGATGATAATTTTCCACTTTATTACAGTCACCTTTTCTAACCTGGCTATGTCCAGGGTAAGCCTTCGTCTGGTGACAGGTATCCAGACCGGAAACTGTTGGCTTAGGAAACACCTCTACAATATGAGGAAGTGCGAAACACCTCTCTGTAGAGGTAGTAAGCAGGAAGACGAGACAGTTTTCCATATACTGTGCGAGTGCACTGGTGTCTCGTCAATGAGAGGATCCGTGCTAGGAGAACGATGGCCTTCTATGACCTACATCAGAGAGATCCACTGAGCAACGTCATCACCTTTTGCTCTTGATAGACTGGTTGACGGCTCAAGAGAGCTGATCTCTCGCTCTTGCTTAGTATACTGAGTTACCCTCCAAATTATTCCAGAATCCAGTCACCTTTTCTAAAAAAAGGCACCACTCGTGCAATTTTAAAAATGTCAGGAAAAATGCCGGTACAAAATCGTATACATACATATTAATTAAAGATGTAAGTGAGTAAGTGACTGTAATAATATATCAGCTGTTCTTTTAACAATTTTACTATTTATGTCAAATACATCCAAACAGTGAGAATTTTTTAACATATTAATAGCCTCATTTACTTCAAGATTAGTTTTTGACTTAGATTGTTGATGATGGTTCTATAATATCTTCTATATGGACTATCTCGTCTTTATTGTCATGCAATTCAATGTGAACACAGATATTATGAGTGCCCACCCCGTACATACCGAAATATTATTAAGCAAATGCACATACTCGAACAATGGAATATGTATGAGGCAACGCCCGTCTTCTTCTAACGCAACAACAAGCAACGCGGAAAATAGTTGCATTTCGTTTTTACCACGCTTGAGGGACTTGTAATCATCAATTAATAATTCATTAGTAATTTGGGCAGGTATATAAACTCGCCCGGAGCTAATCCGATTACTCTAGTTGCAACAGTCCTAGGCTTCACCGTCTAGGAGGTTGAGATCTAACTCTACTAACACAAAAAAATACAAAAAATGAAGTTGTTCCTCGTAGTGTGTGCCTTCGCGGTCGTCAGCGCAGAGTACATAACTCCCACCTACCAGGGCAGCGCGGTAGTTCATGGTAGTCCAGTCGCCCCTGGTAGTTCATACGTCACGCAAGCTTACTACCATGGAGGCGCCAGCAGCAACTACGTTCAACCCGTGTACCAGCCTCAAGTACAAAACGGACCACAGCACGTGCCGGTGATCAAAAATGGCGTTCCCGTCGATACACCTGAGGTGCAACAGGCCAGGGCCGAGCACTTCGCCCTGTATGCTAAGGCCGCCGCGGCCGCCGAGGCTGCCAAGGCTACGACGGGTCAGAAGCAGTATGATGATGGAAGTTACTATCAACAGAGTCAGTAAGTATAATAAACAGTAATATTTACAGTAATTTTTTTATTTTTTTCTTTCTTTTGCCAACTGCGAAAGGAAAAAAATTAAACCTGATTAAATAAACCATTACCCCAAAAGACTCGATTAAGTTCAGTTAATTAAAGTTGCGAAAAAGAATCTGTTTTCGTTTTCAAATCTACTAATGGCGTTTCTTCTTTAACTATGTTTGGTAGTCCAAATTTTGTTAGCTAGAGATATCATATTTCTTTACTACTTCTTTTAATGTTTATAACCAACAAAGATCACAGTTCACGAAACAATTTTATTAACAAATTTACAGGTTCATAATTCATTGAATCATATGACCATATGTTTGCAAATGTTTTTTGAATGAATTTCCCAAATTCGCCCTTCTCTATGTAAAGTTCTGACGTGGTTAGTTCATTCTGTTAATTTATCAATAGATAGAATTGATTATATAAACATAAAAATTGATAACAATTTGGCAGAACTATCTACAACAACTAGGTACAAAATATATAACTGAATTACTAAGTTTACGCAAAAAATCAATCAATCAGTTAAATAATGAATTTTTCCAATAAAATTTCCTATGAGATATACAGGGTGTTTCTGAAATAAGTGCGTTCCTTGAAGAGATTCCTTGATAGAGGGTACAAAAATAAGCAACTTTTATTAAGCAAATGATGGTATAATGCTTCTGTTTTCGAAAAAATTTAATTAAGAAAATTAACCATAAATGTAAGCCGACCATGTGCACATTGTGCACGTGCGTTGTGTATTGCAGCATTACTTAGCCGGCGTATTAAATGTTTTCTGATCAAAAACTAGCAGATATGGTGTTAATGTACGAAGGATGTCAGTACAATTAAAATGAGACTTGTGTCGTTTTGGGTATTTGACCGTCGTTTGGAAGTATGTTATTAGCACATGAAAACAACTATGAACAAAGTTTGTAGAGCATATCGTTTATTTTTTGGCTAATTGGCCTATTGCCCAATGAAGAATTAAGACAATATTAATAGTAAAGAATCGATAATTCAATTCACTTTAAAAATAGAAAAGAATAATATTATACCATTTCTACACATTTGATTTAAAAAAAAATTACATTTACAAGTATTTCTCACATCAACAGACCTAAATTTTAATTTTAATGCTAATACATGATATAAGGAAAGGAGTAATTGCAAAATTGTATGATACACTGTAAAAAAATCGATATGTATAAAAGCAATAAAGGTTCGGAGTGAATCCAATGAGAGAAAATATTGAGTACATTTTCACTCAATATTGGGCATTTTGATCATTTTACTCATTTGTGATTATATTTAAATTAAAAGTGAGTACTTTCACTCAAATATAGGTACTCCTTAAATAAATTCTTCACGTAGACTCGTATTTGGTGCACCTGTACCTAAATCAGAGTAAATGTGAGTGAGTTTAAATATATATTAATTTCGACTAATTTGAATGGTGCCGTGAAGATGGCACCACTTACATATTGCTTCTGTAATCTCGACCACAGTTGATAGGGACCCGTTAGATGCTAAAGAAAAGCGTGATCGTCAGGAGAACAGGCCTTAGCCGGTGGCGCCGAGTCTCAACTAACGGGCTCAGCTAGGACTACTCGGATTTGAGTAAAAAACTCACTCATACTAATATAGTGAAAATTTCACTCAATCCGGTGGGGACAGAAATTGATACATTACTGAATAAAATTGAATGAAATTTGAGTGAAAATTTTTTATAGTGTAGGGTAAAACTGTTTTCCTCAAAGGTGAAATTTTTAATAATGGATTGATATTCATAAAAAATGTACTAACAAGCAATCAGGGAAATACCCAGGGAAAGTTGATAAGAGTTGATAAGATATTGAAAATAAAACAATTTCTGCAAGAAGAACAAAAAATACTTATTCACCTAAAATTCCATATAATTCCTGTATTATCGAAAACATTATGGAGAACAGATAATTTAACATTAAAAAACACGTCTAAATCGTTACATTCAAAATTCAAAGAACTGCATTTACGGTATACCTTTTGATTGCAATAAACATTATGTACAGTAGAGTAAATTAAAGTTCAGTAAAATCCGCCCAAAATTAAAAAAAAACAAACTTCAAAAAACAGTTTTATAAAATAACACGACTGACCTTTTCAGGCGTTTATTTAAAAAAAAAATATTTTTCTCATATAAAGTAAAACTCCCAAATAGAGAAAAAAAAATTGTAATACAAGAACAATTTTGAATAGTTCTATCCTGTTTTTAAACGGGTTTAAATTTAAGTTATGAGGTGGTTAAATTTCAGCATGTAAAAAGTTTCTAAAAATGTATAGAAAAAAAATCATAATGTTATAAACAAAAATAATTTATGCCAACAATTTTCTTTATTTTAGGTAAAATTTACATTCTCAATTGTTCGCTATTCAGCTCTTTAATTCTAACTACTTATCCTTCTTTTCTATTCCTATATCGAACCACCATATTTATATAATTGAATATTTTGAGAATTGTCGTTACTTTTTTATTTAATTGGGTATTTTTGCCACATTGAAAAGAAATAATATTTCATAAGTAAACCATTTCGATAGTCAAAGTCACAGTGATTTAATTAGTAAAATAAGTTTTAGTTTTGCCTAACAAGAAACTATGTCGTTTATAAAAATATAAGAACATGTACTGGGATCTTGGAAACTATATGGTCCAGAAAAACGGAGAACGTTTTTGACCAAGTTAATATTATATTGTGAAGAAAAAATACACATTGTTTTTAATCTTACAAATTTTTTAAATGCGTATAAGCTTTATCACAGTAACTTTTTGCAAACAATTTCATTATGGATTCAGATTTTTCTTTCAATTTAGCTGTTGTAACTTCTTTTTTTATGTGATTCAGGCAGGTTACCGATTTTACTTACTCCAGCATATGGCAGGTTTTTTTCCCTAACTTATTTTAGATATAAATTAACCACACACGTCGGTCTTTCAAAACGTTGCAGGAGTAATCGTACTACCCTTATTGCTCCATTATATCCTTAAAAGCTAAAAGCGTGTCGGCCGACATTTAAAAATAATTGAATCCACAAGAATAATTATTTCCTCGGCAGAAATATAACTTTCGGAACTAGTCCCCCGCGCTTAACCCCATTTGGAAAAAACCCTCCCCAGCAGATGTATTTCACGATATAATAAAGTTATAACATTTTTTAATGCCCCATTAAGTCCATATGTTGAGATAAAAACTCGAAAGGAATGGGCAATGAGAAGGAGGAATAAAGCTTATATATGCCATTACGGCGACTTTCTTCATAAAAAATGCCTGAATAAGCTTTATTTCCTTCGCCCCGTCGACGAGACCGCGAGCCCTTTTATTACGGGTTAGAGGCGGAAAATTTGAGAAACGATATACCTATTCGTCTAACTAAAAATTCTTTATTGTATATTCTGGTTTGACGGTTGAACGAGCCGCAAGAGGAGCTGAATTCGACGTTTCAAACGGTGAAAAAAAACTGGGTTTCATTAATCGGGTGGTTTAAGGTATTAGACAACTTAACTGTAACGTACAATATAGGTTATGGCAATCTACTCGTCCGATCAGTTAACCAATTCTTTTAATCGAGACCTAAAATATTATCCCTAAAACAGATCTGTGTAGAAACCAATGTGGCAGCTTAGCAGTTTATGACTCTGATACAATGACATTTAAATTAAAATTTGAAGAGAATGTAAACCAAGTCTGAGTAAAAAATTAATCAATAATAGTTAAATTAGAGAAAAAGTCAACAATTGGTTCTACATACTCAGAATAGAGTTAAAAGTCACTCAAGTGATAGTTAGATAGTCTGTTGAAATAGTTACACTCATAAAATTTTAGTTATACTTATACCAATAGTGAAAATTTCACTCAGTCGGGTGTGAACATAAATTGATATTGAGTAAAATTTAGTGAATTTGAGTGAAATTTTTGCCTCCATTGGTTTGAGCTGATCATGAAAATAATACTGATGAAAATATATCATTTTTGTAAAATTTTATAACAACTGTTCTTGACATCCATACTCCAGTAATACAAATAAGGATGACTAAACCTCGAGCTCCTTGATTGACTCCAAATTTAAAGTTAATTTTGAGAATCATTAATCATGTGCACTCTGTATAATTCTTTTACAATATAAAAAATTATGTAATTACTGTGTCTTACAAGAAAAGAAAATATTCAACGGACTTGGAAGACTTTTGACCTTTAATATACAACCAAGTAAAAATGATACATTACCATCTGAGTTGGCTAATTTTTCTAATGTAGTTAATAACTTCTTTGCATTTCATTTTTACAGAATATGTCTCATAATATGAAGATTAAATCAATTTGTGTCATCTTAGCAGAGGAAACCCTTGTATTAAATTTTAACTATTGTTGATAAGGATCGTACAGTGCCGGCCCTTTGAAAGTGGACGACTCCTATAAGCATATTGTCTATAATTGGCCTTTGTGAAGCTGACTTGAAAATGTGAGGTTCAAATCGGCTGTCATTATATCAAATTTAATGTGTGTCTATCATACCAGTTCTAGTGAGCATTCTATTTTTCTTTGAGTATAAATATGCTGTTCTTGCATACATGCAGATCATCTGCAATGACCGACCATTCTGAAGTAAAGTTATAGCTCCCACTTTCTCTGGTTCCGTTAAACGCGGCATCTTGAATTACCAAGCAAATTACTAATGACACTGACATATAAAAACTTCATAACGTCATAATAAGAAAAGTAGACCACATCACATTAGAAAAATAAATCGTCCACTTTCAAAGGGCCGGCAGTGTACCATTCTTTATAGAAGTAAAACCGATATGTTTGTTGCTGACTATGTTACAGTATTGCAATCATTTTGTAGATCCTTATGTTACTCATATAATTAATTGCTACATTGGGCAACAATACTTTCATTATGTGGAGTGAGACAGTTAGTTTGTCTATACCTAATCATAATACCTTTTCTGATCTTCACCAGTATATTACCAACTCGTTCCAAAATTTGTATGAGAATATTAATCAAGTTTATGATTATTTTCTGACAATCTCTTGCCTCATTCGCAATGTGACTTGAAAAGGGAGTAGTATTCTAATTGCCTATTGGTTTATTGGTTTTCTTAAAACCTTCGTCATAATTAATCCTAACCTTCTTTGTTCTAAACTTAGAAATCGTTTCTGGTGTTGCCCAAAGTTCAATGTTAAGCCCCTTACTTTTTATAATTTATAGTGTTTGCATTTTGAAATCAGCTTATGCTTATGCTGATTATGATTATGGTGTGTAGTAGAAGATTCAAAAAAAATTTTGTCTTGACTACTTAAAACAGATTTGTTAGAAGCATTTGTTAACAAATTGCTTTCAGTAGTTTCACGTTTTTCATCTTTACTTTTGTATAGTGTAAAAATGTGTTTGTTTGTTAATGTATTTGTCACTCATATTCTGTTTTTTTTTTCTTCTAAAGATATTTCTATTGTTATAGATATTAATTATGTTTCTCTGTTTTCGGTTCTCTCTCTCACCTATATTATATTACATACACGTCATCAATCAGAAATTCAAATTACATTTACTGAAATACAACTGACGCATTCAGAAAAGCGTATGCGAAGATTTTAGATAGACCAAATATTTGTAGTTTCACGGATCGCTACAACTCATTAACGCAACAATAAATGAAGCGTTTCTCAGAAAATCATTTCATTTTCAGGACCTACTACCCCACCGCAACCAATCAGTACAGCCAGGCGCACGGCGGCAGCAGCAGCGGCAGCAGCTACATTTATCAATCCGGTGGACATTTATCCAATTCAGGTAAACAAGCCTCCTTCATTTATTACGTCAGAGCAACGTAAGTGGATTAACTTAATCTTCAAGCATAAACGCACCAAAGCATCGGCATTACTTTGAGGCCGGAGGCTTTACTTTCGCCACAATTAACACCCAGTTTTCCCAGACTTACCGGCTGTAAAGCAAACTGAGCGAACGGAAACGATTCCACTAGGCTGACGTTGCGGGAAAATGTGAATTAATCAACTAACGCGGTATAATAATATGTAAAACACACTAGAGACTATACAAATCTCTAAGAGAAACAGTTTGGTTACAATTCAACGGTTTACTTGAAAGCGTCTCTGCTAGATGTCAGTATTTACTTCTCACCGACACTGGTTTAATGGGGTAATAATAAATATATTTAAATTAACTTTTTCTGACATTGGATTAAGTAGATCAGATAAATGCTTGATTGATTAAAACTAACTGAAATAAACGATTATTTCTTCTCGGAGAAAATATATCAGTAAAGATGACCTTTCAAAGCTAGTTGAAATTAATTACCAAAATTGATACACATTTTTGGCTATTTGGTAGTTGATGACGATACGGAATCACGAATAAATATATTCCACAGAACCCACCCACTTTTGTATAGCCACCTCAATAAAACGAATTCGATTTTTTTGTCTCCTGGAAAATGTATGTTTTGATCATGGAGCTTAGAAGAATGGAGATTTTGAGTAATTTTAAACAAGGAAGCGGTTTTTTAGAAAAATTTTACATGATATTACAGTTACGTTCAAGAAAACGTATCGAAGAAGGATGTGATGTTCATTTGCAGGAACAAATAAGTTTTAAAATAAAAAAAATTAAAATAATTAAGAATTACCTACTCGTTCAAGCTACAGGGTCAAAACATGCAACTTATAGAAAACAAAAAAAGAACGGATTTTTTATTAAGGAAGCTATGAAAACGTAGCTTCCAGGTAATTTTTTATGACTGTATAGCGTCCTCCCAGTGTACAGATACTATTTTAAATTTAATATGTTTACTTCTATGGGGATGAAATTACTTTTTGCAAAATTAAAACTTCCAGTACATATTGCAATGTACTTTAAATGTTAAAGTGCACCATAAAAGTAACAGACTTTCAGTTACGAGTATTTTGAAAAACGACTGACCTGATTAAATTAGGTCAGGCCAGGTCAGATCAGGTACAGTATAGTTAAATTATATTCAACATAATTGCATATTTTGTTTACTGATAAATTGCGACCTATCGTTGAAAATATCTGGTCACAAATGAACACTTCTGTGCATTTATGTATTATACTTGGCACCTATTATCTATATACTGATCAAGTGCATAAAATCATTTAATATTTAATATATATGTACGATTCAAAATATTCTTCTTGGTTTCCAAAATTAGCTAGTCTAGAGCCGCTTATTATTATAAATAATCCGCGAAATTTACTGTTTCCTCGGAAGGCAGCAACTGATTCCACACAACGAGTAATTATGCATGTAATCTCGCGTCAGTCTGCAGCTGCATATGTATGGCTTACTGTATACAACCATAACAGAGCACAAATTACTTTAAAGCCATCTTGTGAAATTATTCATCCAATTACTTAATTAGTTGATACGTCAGCCGCCAAATGTGCAAACGTTATCTGTTAAATATTTAACAGTGAAGCGAATATCTGAAGTGTTCGCTATGGCATACAGTTTGAGTTTTGCATGGCAAAAATGACATGATATTGAATATGAATAAAAACACAAAATGGTCTAATATCTTCGCTGGTAAATATTATGTATTTATAATCACAAAACATATACAAAATTTTGCACGAAAGACTTTAACAGATGATGGAATAATCAATTTTAAAGGGGGATGTTTTTACGAATAATTTTCAATGAATTTAATTTCTTTCAATGAATTCATCGTCTTTTGACAACAAGTTAGAAACAGTATCTCTTGACTGTACCAGTTATATAAGTTTTCTCCAGGGTACAAGACAATTTACAAGTTGACAATTCAGAGTAAGGAAAAAAGCATACTTTTTCCTCTTATCTTTATCATTACATTTCATAAACTTCACACGCCTGTGGAATATACAGAACATCACACACGGTACCATAAACATAATCACATCCCGGAAATTGTTTAATCACAATTATTGAGTATTTTTACAAAATTTTCGATAAAGGATATCTACAGGGTGTCTCAAACTTGATAGTATGGGCCTACTGTGAGGATACAAAAAAATTAAATAAAATTTGGGACACGTGGTGTTAAATGGGATGAGGTGTTAAAAAGCTCTGTTTTGTACTACTATACTACTACTATATACTACTACTATAACAAACATTCATTAGTGAAATTTTCCTGTAGTGCTTCCCATTTAAAAGTTATAAGCAACATGGTCCTACAGTCTCAAAATAAATACCACCTAAAAATCACATTAGCGGTGAAAAAATCAAGTAGTCGTTGCAAAATATTTGAATGTTCATTGTTTAAAGTGCTTAAATGTCACAAAATACTTGTCATTATTCAATACAATCGGTAAACGTATAACGTTTGTTCTCTCATTCAGAAAAAGTTGATATGTTGCTAATTTACGACGAGTCACAAAAAAATTCAAATTATGTTAATTCATTGAAATATAACAAAATTTTCTTCTATATATCTCAGAATCTACATAGTAGAATGTTACCGTATTTGACTAAAAAGGAAGGGGTTACGACGTAGTTTTTATGTGTGCAAGATTTTGTCGATTGCATAGAAAATTTCATGGCCAAAAATATGGTTATAAAAGTGTAAAAATAGGTATTTTTAGTATTGATCATTGTTTATTATGAGTATCTCTAAAAAAAATGTGTGCCCTTTCTAAACCTTAATTTAAACCCACGGTACGCGATAAACTTTTTGAAAATTTCTTAATTAAAAATCCTGTCAATCGAAAACCACGTGATTCATCGTTGCAAATTTTAAGAGTAGAATTGACATATGTTTTACTATTTGTTCACAAAGTTTCATCAATATTTATAAATATTTACTTATTTTAAAAATTGCTCGAAATATACATATGATTTTCTACTATTTTTTGCCCATTATTAATGCAAAATTCAACTTTTTTTATTCGCAGTTATTGTAACTTTATATAAAATCATCAAATAAACAAAAAATAAAAATGACTTTTTTATTTAGGGCTTACTTTCAATGTTACAGGTCGAAAAACGGATCATTTTTGGTTCGTTTTGTTTGTTTGTTCCCCTAAATTTAGCAATGGTATTTTGGAATAGGCAAACTCGGATTCTTATTCTACCATAATATTTGGGATTTTTCTGTACAACAAAATAGATGACTTCAAACACAAAGGCAAAAGCCTACTTTTACTGCTCTACCGCCTCGACTATTAAGAGAAAATGGCATTATGTACAAGTCAAAATTGAAAACACATTAAAAAAAATATTTTTGTTGGAAAAAACATTAACTCAACTTGTAGTACTGAAAAATGTGTAATCTGAAAATATATGCAAGGGGCCCAAGCTAAAAATAACTGCACTACAACTTTAAGCAGTTGAAGAGAATTAAAAACTGTATTTTTTTTTTTTATCAACTTTATTTGGAGGGCAAATTAAAATTCTATCAAAATAAATGGGTAATACTCGTATTAAAATTTGCATCACGACTTTCATGTTTTGAATCAGAAAAATTTAAGAATTATTTTTAATTTTATTTAAAATAACTCCAACTTTTCCAAAACTAAAACTTGCCCGTTTATAATTAAAAAAACTGAGGAGTTCCTCTTGAGAAAATAGTGGGGGTAGTTCATGTAACATTTTTCTCAATTATTATCGCGTTTTCAATACACAGGGTGGTAAATTTGTTACTTAGAAGAGGAATTTTCTTAATATTTTTAAATCGGCCAAAGATAATGATGTCAAAATTTGCACACGAATAAACATTAACAGTGCATTAAGAAGAATGCACAAACTATATTTTCCATAGCAGTGGCGTGGATGCGGGTAGTATGAGGAGTATAATTGAAGAAAAACATGTTAAAAATCAAAATTTTCTCAACATCTTAACGGTTTAGGTATGGGACATATATTTTTGAGATAAATTAAGGTGAATTTCTTTGCTTACAAATGACTGTTGGAATAACAAAACATATCATTTTTAAGAATTTAGAAGACTGCTATTGCTAATTAATCGATAATTAACTGATTACCATAACAGAGTGAATATAATTTCTTTTATTTGTTTACAGAGTTACAGTAAAACTTTTTATGTTCATATTTTGAAAGTTACTTTTGCCGTTTTCTGTGAGCATAAAGCTTTACTCTAATTTTTTTCGAAAAATGTACTTCGAAATTCAAGTAGAATAGGTTTAGATTATTCTTTGAGCTTTGCTAAGTCGTCGAATTTTTAATTCCGCAACCATGTCACTGTCTTTGAGAATAAAAGAGTTTGCGCGATTTTAAGACTGTTGATATTTATTCATATCCGAATTTTGGCATCTTTATCTGCAGCCGATTTATGGATAATTATGGAAAACCCTTTTCAAAGTAACAACTTTAACACCGTGTACATAGGTAATCCTTATTTATTACAAATAAAGAAAAATACTGACCATTTATTTCTAGAATTATATTGAAAAAAAATCATGACTCGTAAATAAAGATAATTTCATGAAAATTTAAGAAATACAGAAATTTTCGGATCTATGAAGATATACCCTGAGTTTAAAATTAGTCAACTTGTTGTATTGACAAAAATATTTTTATTTCCTATAATTCAAAATTGTGTAATTTGAAAACAAGGCCGCTCAGGACTTAAGTTTATTTATTTATTTCATTACTGAAATTTACTCAAGGACCATACCCCCTGTATTATTCAGCCATTTACCCGCTAAACCATTAAAACCGACTCCCAAACCCTCCCAGCTCGTCAGCAAGCGCGAAGCACCCTCCGACGCTTGCCCTCGTTCCGCATACTGAACATGAAACCTCTTGTTCGCCCCAGGTCCTTACCAAGCGGGACCTGTTGACACCGCCGACGTCCAACAGGCCAAGGCGGCACACTTCACCGCCCTGCAGAGAGCCGCCGTCCGCGCCGCCTCCACAGAACATCACAGGTACAGGCGTAGCGCCGTTTGGGGCGCCCAACTTCAGCACGTACCCGTCATCACTAAGGACGGAGTGCCCCAGGAAACGCCCGAGGTCCAGGTCGCCAAGGCACAGCACCTCATCGCCCACGCCAACGCCAAGGCCGGACACTCCGAGTGGAGTCAGGGTAAGATGAGGGAATGAACTTTTTCATCAGAAAGTTTTCTGATTTAGGAAAAAATTGAATGGCTTAAATAAACCCTTGTGTCAAAAGGATTGATTTAGGATAGTTTATGTGGAACTGAGCATTTTTTACTTACCAACAATTCCACACCGAGAAAAGTAGTTTAAAAAAAGTGCAAAAAAATGTATCATTTTATGTTCCGGAAAACGTCCGTTTTCGTTTTCAAAACTTCACAATTGTTATAGTCTTTCCGAAGTCAGTTGAACATGTATAAAAACGCCTAGCAATAAAATATGAGTTTCATAGATGTCCCTAAAAAAGATTTCTGCTAAAGATAAAAAATTATAATAATTTGTATACATAATGTGTAGAAAATTTCAATTATATGCTCATTTGGCCCACAACATATTTTAGTTATTTATACTCTTTTATATTGATGGTAAATTTCGTTTTGTTCCATTTCAAAAGGTCTCCAAAATTTTATGTTGTAATAATATTAGTAAACAAAATATCCCTCTTATTTCTCCCTTTCGCAATTGTAATATGAATGATTAATAGTAGGTGTCTATAATAAATTAAAATTACCTGAATCACACCAAATTCCACATTGCTGCACTGCACTGCTGGGCAATTTGTCAACCACTTGTCAACAACTGAGATTTATTGCCCAGTCGCCCAGTGCAGCTGTGTTATACGCTTTTTGCCCCCGCCCGCACTCTTCAACTGAGCGTATATATTTCTACCACTTTCACGTTTAGTTCGACCAGACCTGTATATGGATATGGCTAAATAAATATGGGAACAAGTTTTTCAAATATTTCAATGCCGAGTTGCCGCGTCAGCGACCGAACCTGGTACATACTGCCAACCTCTTGGTTCTTCAATTGAGATCGGAAAGACTATACCTTATCATTATTTCTTTCTGAATTCGCTTTTAACTATAGAAGCACATAAAACAAATATATTGTTATGAGTAGTATGTGTGTGTGTGGTTTGTTTATATAATTAATATAATATGATTTTGCTGTGTATATGTGTATGCTGCTGTGTTGGTATGTTTTGTCAATTATTGTCAATTAAACCCTAGCTAGCTTTAAACTCTTCCCAGTAGTGAGTTCTAGTGAAATTAAAACTTTGTAGAAACCCAAACAATACACCACACTAAAAAAAAAGATATTATTCAAAATTTAATTAATTTATTTATTTATTTATTTTTGTTCAACAATAAATTATAATCGTGAAATGTTCAGGCACAATTTCGGAATATTTGAAATTATCTTATTATGAAAGCTATTTTGTAACACCTTGGGAACTTTTCATAAAGTGGTATTCAAAATGACTCGTTATTGTGTACGGTTGGTTGCCTATACTTAAGGCGATTAAACTGATTTTAAAATTTCTTTCCTGTGTTACTTTGCCTACTTTTATACTTAAATATTTATCTAAATTTTAATATGGACACTTTTTATTATTATTAGTATAGTGAAGTTAAAGTTATCTACTATTTATTAGGTATGAAGAATTTATATTAATTTCAATCTTATTTTCAGGTAAGACTACTTTAAATTTTATTATTACACCTATAGATTTTTTTTGACTTTTGAGATTATGTTTATTATTCTCTTTTGCTAGCTAGCTTTATCTTATAAGATTTCGTAATTCTTTGTGCACAAAGTTACGTCTACGTATGTCTTGTCGATTTTTATTTTCGAACTGCTTGCCCTCTTATACTAGACCTGGATATCGTCCTGGAATCCTCGTTTTCCTAACTTGACTGTATAGCTGGAACCTGCTTACTTTGGTGTGTCAGGAATATCGTCCTGGAATTGTCGTTTTTCTTGAGTTTGTAAGATCTCTGGAACTGCTGCTTACTATTGAATATCCGGAATATCGTCCTGGCCTGTCCTGGATATCGTATTGGAGTCCTTTGAAAAGACTGAACTTTTGAATCCTTTTGGCCCAACTTTAATTTTTCTTTGTACTGGAATACTACCTTTGATTGTCTTACTATATTACACTGTAATTATTACTATTTAGATGGGTTTTTCCCACTTTATTTCTTTTCAATTACTTCTATCTGACAAATCTTTCGTAACTAATCAATAATTCTTCTTTTTTATTTATCCTCTCTCTTGATTTTTTTCTCCCTTGTTAAGGTCTTTTCACCTATATGCCTGTTCTTTAAAATTCTGTTTTCTTTTTCCATTTCACTTCACTTCACTTTTATAATTTACAATTTTACAATCACATTCCAGTTTATTTACAAAAAATTTTAACTTATATTTCAAAATATTCCTTATTCTATATTTTTATTTTAATTTCATATGTACTATTTTCTGACTTGTGAATCTAACTTTATTTTTGACATTTCACTGACATTATAATACTTTGGACATTAATATTTCTTTATACTTATTTTACTTACTCATAATACTACTATTAAATAAACTATCATATTTTAGCTTTCGTTTGTTATATGTCCCTTGTTGTTACTAATTAATTTTGATTATGTTTTTCCGATAATATCTTGTCATGTACGCTATTTGACTAAAATGATAATGTTTACTATACTTAAATTTTTGAAATTTATATTCTGCTCTAGTAATACGACTCTCCGATAGCATTTCAACATACCCTATTTAATACTAACAATTTTTCCTTTTACTTATTTTTTTTAAGTTTTACAATAATTATTTCACTTCTCTCTTCATATTGTCTTAGTCAAGTAAAATTTTAATTTAAATTTCTAAACTTCTATCAATATTTTTATTTCATCTCAATATATTTACTTTTAAAACCAGTTTCTTTACGTCAATGAAACCCTAATATTACAGAAAACTTTTTCAAATATCAATTGTATAAAAAGCATATCGAAAGCATTGGTATGTTGACTGTAAAAAGGTATAAACGCATATACCAAATGATTATTTGAAGCAATCCACAAAGCTATAAAGACTTTAAGATGCCACAGCAAAAACTACACCCCACAACTGATTTCACCCAGCTAATAAACGTGAACAAACCGTAAATTTTCGGCCACACACTCGAATAGAACAAAGTTCGTGCTTTGACCTCTTTAGGGTAAATTTTAAGATTCGCGTGACTGGGTGCGAGTTGTATTGCTTTAACTACTTTATTTTAGCTACTTACTTTATGGGACATATGGCACATTCAAGCTAAAGATAAATAGCTCGGTTTGAAAGTTAGTTCCCCTCCGGATACTACATTTCTCTTTAAGTACCTTATTGGAAAGTACAGGAAAAAACATATTACAGCTCAAAATTAGATAATGACTATAGAAAAGCCATGGAAATATAAACCTTTGATTCGAGACGTTCTATTTCATTTAACGATGTTTTTTACTTCATTAAAGCGTTGTTTCTTTAAACATTTTTTCAATATTGATGTACTCGTATAAGCGCAAGTTAAGATTCTAAAATATAGCAAAGTTTCTTCTAAGGCTATATAGTCTCGATTCATCAAAGAAAATCTAAATTGTATTTAAGTAAATCCCTTGGTAACAGCCAATTAAATATCTGATACCTTCACGCACAAACTGGATTTAGTTAAATTGAAATTAAAATTCGTTTCGTAGACCGGCGACGTTAGTACAACTTTATTGAGAATGCGTTAATCAATAAATTGAGAATTATAACGTTCTTTCAGCATCTGCTGGCAACTACGGCGACAGTTCCTCTATCTGGACCAACTACGAAACACCAGAAGTGAACAAAGTGCAATATTCCGTCAACCACGACTTCTACGGGGGGTGGACTGGACCCCAACACTACCCCCAAATTGATAAAGATGGCGTACCCGTAGAGACCCCAGAAGTCCAAATTGCCAAACAGCAACATTTCCTTGCTCACTCTCAAGCCAAGCTTGGACTCTACAGTCAAGTACAGGCTGGCAGGTAATTATGATTTTGATAAAGTTCAAGAAAAATCTATTCTGAAAGTGAACCACAGATAACAACAAAGGCAAATAGAGTTTCTGATATATCTAGATTCAGGTGAAATTAAAAAGTAGGTAACTCATGAACCCATTTTCTATATCGCTGAAAAGAATAATCTCCAACTAATTTAATCAACGTGGTTATTTCTAAATTGTCAGTATGTTTTCACTGAAATGAATTGTATTCTAATAAATAAAAAAATTGCCAAAGAAACGCCTCAATTTCAAAAGTCCTTCTATACTCAGATTAAGCGACAATTAAATCAACATTCTAATAAAAAATATACAATTTGCGTTTCATTTTTTGGAATAAGCAAAAATTATTTCAAGATGCATCGCTGCAATTATTATTCGACTGCCAAACTTCTAAGTATGTGTCATATTAACAAAAAAATGGTCAAGTAAACTGTAATCTATTTTGTAATGATATGGAGTATTTTGGAATACAGTATTCAGGGATTGAGAGAACATAAAAAATATCTATCATATTTTGTTTTCGAGATACAGAGATAATTTTCCGAAAAACAGTTAATTACGGTTAATTTTGTGAGGGTGCTAAATGCAATGGTATCGTTAATTGTTTACCATTTACTAGAGTCGCTGACTTACCTAGGCGCAACTTTTTTAGGGTACGTGTTTTGTTATTACTACGTACAATTTAATTTAACAATAAAACGGTACTACTCTTGTCGATGTCTTTGGATAAAAAAAAACAAACTAGATCAAGTTACCTTAGAAAGTGATGAGTTTTCAACCAAAATTTTTAACTTTTAAGGAATAAATTTGTACTAAGGTAACTTGATCCAAATCGGTTTATTTTCATCCAAGAAAGTTACCCTTGGAATATGGCTTATACATTTATGGACACCCTGTATATTACGGAGTAAACGTTTTCATTTTTTGGCGCCTTTTCAGAAATTTCAGCTATTTGTACGTAATACTAAGAATAAAAGAATATTTTATATAGATATCAAAGTAATAATTCTGCAAACCGGTTGAAAACATCAGCTGTTTATAGTCCAATTAACTAAGCCTTTAAATCGAAATTTTGTCAACTTGGCTGAATTTTTGATATGAGTTAGTTTAAGGTATATTATAACAATAAGTGAGAGTAATTTTTTGTTCAACCCCCGGCCAAGGGTGGAAAAAGATAAAACAAAGGGCTTTTTCAAGATAACTCAAAAAGGGTAAGAGCTAGAAAAAAAAGTTTTTCATGAAAGTTGTAAAGCAGACAATTCTACATAAAAATGGCCTCTTAACTTTTTCTTGTACTATTACAATTAACAGAGTTAGGGAGGCTAGAAGTTAAGGGAAGATTTCAGAAATTTAAAAAAAATCATAACAAACAGAAAAATGATTGAATTTTGTAATTTTTTTTTTCAATCTGCTCTAAAATATGTAACTTTTCTTTTCAGAGAAATAGATATATTTTTTAATTTTTAATAAGAAAGTTATAACAAAAAATCAAATTTTTAATCGTTAATTTTAATGATTTAACAAAATTAAATTTCTGAAATCTTCCCTTAACTTCTAGCCTCCCTAACTCTGTTAATTTTAATAGTACAAGAAAAAGCTAAGAGACCATTTTTATGTAGAATTGTCTGCTTTACAACTTTCATGAAAAACTTTTTTTTCTAGCTCTTACCCTTTTTGAGTTATCTTGAAAAAGCCCTTTGTTTTATCTTTTTCCACCCTTGGCCGGGGGTTGAACAAAAAATTACTCTCACTTATTGTTATAATATACCTTAAACTAACTCATCAAAAATTCAGCCAAGTTGGCAAAATTTCGATTTAAAGGCTTAGTTAATTGGACCATTAGTTGTCCTGAGGATGTCATAATATACAGGAAAAATACGATTTTTCGTTAAACTTTGGCCTTTCCTTGCACATCTTCTAAATATATCGGCTTTCTTGTACTTAACAGTTTTTCCAACTCTATTTCAAAGCAGACTATAATAGTTGAAGCTATAAGATCACATTAACAATAGTGTTTATTTAATATCTTCTAAAACTGTTGAACTATTAATACCATCCGAATTTGGTACACGTTTTTGAACAAAAATATTGGTTGTAGGTAGACAATGTAATGACAAATGTTATGTCCACTGCGACCAAAAACCAAATATAAAAAATTCAGACAATGTAACTCAATTTCTTTCATTCATAATTGATTTGAACGATTTGCCATGCAATTTCACTATTATCAAAGTCTCCCCTGAATTTTCCGTTTCTCTGGTTGCAGAAAGCAATCGGTTGATTACACCCTTCGCTTTTTAGCAAGTGTTATAAAAACCCGTATCCTACATCCGATTGAAATTAACTCGACCCAAATATGGAGAATCGCGCCGACCCCGGCCAAACAATTGATCGTCGCTCGGGATAAATGATCGCAAACAATTCCCTTAGTCGGAGGCTGTGACAATGGCCGTGATTTATTTCGTATGGAAATAATAATTCCTGTCTGAACCCACACGGCCCGATCCTATCCAACAACAAGTTTCGGCCTTCGTTAATAATACCAGTCCCGTAGCCGAGATTTACTATATAAATTTTATTCGTACCCCCCTCCCCCCAAACGGCGACGTCTTCTGTCACGGGAGATAAATGTCGTCCGGCGACTAACACGGACGCTTTTATACCGACCTGACGTTTATTGTATTCGGAATTCTCGATGCGAGATTTTAGACACAAATACAGGGTGTTCAAGTTCATTGTTCCACAGCTCCGATTTCATTCGTCCTGAGAAAGAGGTCTAGACCAAAGTTGCATTAATTTTGATAGCGGTGTCCACGGAAACAATTGCAATTTTAGTTAAACAATTGCTTCAAACGTCAAAGCAGAACAAAATTGACTCAACGTTATACAGAGTGTAACTTTAAATGGGGGTCAGTTTTTTAGGGGTAATAGTACGTGTTCCACTGAATACTGATCTAAAATTCTTTTTTTTAATCAAATAAATACTCGAGTACTACTTTAATACTTGTATACCCCGCTACTGTAATACTCACGCATTACAAATATATGAATTGTAGATAATCATCACTGGTCACCAGGCTTGTAATCATTTATAAAAGTTCTGTAAAATTATTTAAACTTGCATTTTTAGCAATTAATCTTGTAGAAATTATTAAATTAAGCTAAAAACAAAGCCGTGATAATTGTCAGTTATATACTATTACAGACTGAATATACCTGATTGACGAGTTCATTTTGTTTCTCTTAAAACAATTTCAATGGTACAGTAAATAATACTCGCCTTCTTTAATTAAATACAAAGGGAACTGTGAAGGGTTAACCAGTTCCATGAATTCAAATTAAAACTGTTGTTGGACATGCTATTATGATATTAAAGCTGTTATAATGATGTCTTGACACGTTTACGAAAAAGATGACTTTCTAGCAATTTTTCATTCAAGTTAAGTACGACAGTACAGTATTTGCACAAATGATTGTTTCAGATGAAAGAAAAATAGATTTCACATATTTTTCCGTCGTTTTGCTTTAGGAATAGTTCATGAATGTCAAAAACATAACCGGAAATGATACCAAAAGGAATTTTTTAAGTTGGGAATGCAAAAATAAAACGAATGTCTCTTAAACATTAATAATAGTCCAAAGTTTCAACACGAATCATCAATACGCTGTTTTTGGGTTACATACCTCAATCGCAGATTGTTATCAAATATTCTGCTTTAAATGGTAACATATTATGGTCTAAAACTTCAGCCAATATATGACACTTGATATTTCATGATATGATAACTGTGACATATTTATGTTATAACGTTGTGCAGAGTTAATGTATTCATGAATTTAACTTCATTATGTCTACTATACATTACTTAAACTGTGATGGGGATATGGTCAAGCCTAAATTATTATTGACATAAAATTCTGTACAAAATTCGTGCTTAAACAATTTACCCTTAATATAGTGCATATGGATATGATTATAAGAAACGTTTATCACAGAGACAAGTATAGAATTAACACAACTTTTTACGTTTCAGTTATTATGGGTCATCCTTCCCCCACGCCAATATAACACCAGACGGCGTTCCAGAAGAGACCCCTGAAGTCAAGATTGCCAAAGCTAGACACTTTGCTGCCCATGCTGAAGAGCAAGCCAAACACGCCAAATGGGCTGGTCAAACTGGATCTGGATATGGCAGTGGATTTGGATGGTAAATCAACCCACACTATCAAAGAATGACAAAAAATCTTGATCTTCATCTTCATAACCATACTGCCCATTTTTACTTTAGTTTTTCTCTTTTTATACTTGTTTTTACTAAGATGTCTATTTTAATAAATACTAATGTTTAAAAACACTGAATGTTTTTTATTGACTAAAAAGTCCCTGCTTTTATGGCAGCAAGCTACGCTTAGAATTGTAAACTAAAACGCTATAACGTTTTGTTCTTGGCTTTAGGAAATCAAATATCAAATCAAATCAAAAATAAATATTATAGAGAAAATGCGAAAAGGAAGTCGACAATATGTTCGGAAAGTGTAAATGTATAAATACACAAGCACTAAAAGACGTACGCGCGCTTTATAAGCAATATTACAAAGTACAAGAAGTAAGATGTGAAAAAAATATATGACATTTATGAAGTTACAGACAAAATATAATGTACCGATATGACTTCTACATAGTGATTCATTAATAATGGGACAGAGCTTAAGGGCATATTGCTGATCTCAAAATAGAGCGATTAAGCCAAATATGCCTTATCCGAATGTTGCTCCTTTTCAATCTATAGGGTGTTAAAGTTGAAAAAATATTTTCGATTTTTTTAAATATCTTGAGCATCTTTGAACGGATTGTCTTGAAAGTTTGTACACCTATGTTTTCTGAGGTGGAAATTACGGAAATGCTAACTATTTTGCAATCGCATCTAGGATGCGCTAGTTATAGTGTTCCGTCGGAATAAACATATGTCAAACTTTTTTGTCCTTCAAAAATCTGAATTTCCAATAAAAAATTATTAAACTACGTTCAATTCTAAATAAAAAAGATATACCTATTAAAAATCGATAAACTTAACCGTTTTCGAAATAAGAACGATTTACTATACTTCTTTATAAAATTATTTGTTTGAACGTACGCCTTTAAATAAGATGACTTAATTACGAATTAAGGCAAACACAGTAACATCTGAAAATTTTATTATGCTTCAGTCTAATTACAAAAGATTCTCAAAGTGGCGACCATAATGTTAACAGATTCTTGTATTTTTGCCCACAGCTCTTCTCGAGTATGTATAACATATTTATAAACTAAAGATTTAACGTTACCCCAGAAATAAAAATCTAGGGGATTTAAATCGGGGCTACGCGCAGGCCAAGGCACTTCGCTGCCGCGACCAATCCAACGGTTTCGAANAACGTTAACGTTTTCCATTCTTTAACAATAAATAATACTCAAATAAACATTCACTGTATGTATTAAATTGACAACAATAAACTGGTGACAGATTAGGTGCTTGTTTTGAAGTTCCACTAAAAAATATTAAGCGATATCCGTTGACTGCACGAAAAAACAGTAAATGTCTTAAAAACCATAAGAGATAGATATAGGGAACCATTATACCATTCGAAAGAAAACAAAATTTTTCATCAGGTTGTATATACAGGGTATCCCAACGAAAATTTGACCCCCCCTATAATTGGAAAACCGAATAATATTTCAAAATTCGCCGAGACCCGTCGATTTTTGTTCTTGGGGGGAGCTTTTTTGACAGTCAAGCCAACTCGATATGTTCATCCCCCTAATGCCTAGCAACCCCAACTTAAAAATTTCAAATGCAACTACCCCACTTGTGGCACATCATTTTAAAGCCCTTTNCTTGTTTGCGTGTTTTCGACAATTCGCACTAAAACATTCTCTTCTTGCTCCGCCGCTAATACTTTAGGCCTTCCAACGTCTCGTTTAGGGCGAAATGATCCCATTTCTCCTAATCTGTAGTACAACGTCTTGAAAAGCTTGTGGTTAGGTTGTCTGTTATTTGGATATAACTCCAAGTACCTCGCTGCTGCATGACGACCACAATAATTTTCTTCTAATAATCATTATGACGCGGCATTTTAATGAAAAAAATCACAAACGAAGAAGAACTAAACTGTCCAGTATTTTACAAGTTGCTTAGAACTGACATAAACAATACATGACATTTCATTGACAGCGGCCTACTTCATTTAAGTCATCTTATTTAAAGGCGTACGTTCAAACAAATTATTTTGTAAAGAAGTATAGTAAATCCTTCTTATTTCGAAAACGGTTAAGTTTCTCGATTTTTAACAGGTATATCTTTTTTATTTAGAATTGAACCTAGTTTAATAATTTGTTATTGGAAATTCAGATTTTTGAAGGACAAAAAAGTTTGACATATGTTTACTCCGACGGAACACTACAACTAGCGCAACCGAGATGTGATTGCAAAATAGTTACCATTTCCGTAATTACCACCTCAGAAAACATAGGTGTACAAACTTTCAAGACAATCCGTGCAAAGATGCTCAAGATATTTAAAAAAATCTAAAATATTTCTTCAACTTTAACACCTTGTAGATCGAAAAGGAGCAACATTCGGATAAGGTATATTTGACTTAATCGCTCTATTTTGAGGTCAGCAACATGCCCTTAAGCTCTGTCCCATTATTAATGAATCACCCTGTATAGTTCTAAGAATTGATCTTAGCATAACTAAAAGAAAATAAAGAAATAATCGTAAATTGTATAGCTGTATTTCCTAATTTAGTATATTTGTTACTGATTCTTCCAAAAATAATTGCGATTACATTGTACTGTTACGAAATTTTTATATTTTAATTATTATATTTTCTTATTAAATTTGTTAAATAGGCTAAAATTCGCCGTTTCTCGGATAGGTACTGTAGATTGCAATCAATTTTATTATTCTACTTTTTTCACAGCTTTCTCTGGTGTATGCTTTCGATGAACGGGTATGAGGAATGACTGCTTTTTTGCAAGGGTATAAATATTCCGATTTAAATTGATTTGAGCGAAATGTTTATTGAACGAGTGTGATGTGATACCTGTAGCTGAAATAATAAACGGATTGACATATTTCCAAATTCTTTCGATGTCTATTGCCAGTCTTGATATTTTTCTTTTCTGAGCGGTTTTTATTACATCTTCATACTTTTACATAGTATTGCTATATTGATTAACTGATGTATTGGTATTAGGAAGTGGTATTGGTATTGGTAGTGATATATTGGTATACTGGTAGTGGTATATGGTATGTTGGTATTTTTAGTGATATGTTGGTATTATATTAGTATTGGGATACATTCGTATTGGTATTATGTGATATACAGGGTGTCCCACTGTGACGAGACATTAGACATATTTCAGAGACTACTTCGATTTTAATTTTGAAAATTTGAGCAATAGTGTTTTCGGTCATGCCCTTCTCAACTAAAATAATAGCGTCCACCAAACGCTTCCGTCCTATTTATTATCTTGTGACACTCTCCTTGAATAAACAATAAGAATGTCAGCATTTGAATAACGTTAACGTTTTCCATTCTTTAACAATAAATAATACTCAAATAAACATTCACTGTATGTATTAAATTGACAACAATAAACTGGTGACAGATTAGGGGCTTGTTTTGAAGTTCCACTAAAAATTTCACAGCCATCCTCGCAAAATATTAAGCGATATCCGTTGACTGCACGAAAAAACAGTAAATGTCTTAAAAACCAGAAGAGACAGATATAGGGAACCATTATACCATTCGAAAGAGAACAAAATTTTTCATCAGGTTGTATATATGTAAGTTGTAACGCCTGATGTATAGTTTTGATTATTGTATTACGCCCATTTGTAAACTCAACGCTTTCTAAATGTAACGCAATATGATGTTCTGGGAAAAATAGAAAACAAAAAGAACAAATAAAATATTTATTATGCTAGTCAGGCTATAAGTTCGCAGAGTAGTTGTTTCTCCTAAATCAGTTAAAAAGTATTAAACTTTATTGGCGAGTACAGTAACATTAGTATAAACTGTTGGCCTTTCTGTTAGCTAAAAAATATTCAGTATTCAATTCTAAGTGTCAGTTTCAGTTAATAGACAAATACTTGTAACTTCTATAACCTTTTCAGCAACAAATTACACAACCTTTACGGTTTTTATTCCTTTCCAGGATAAAGCGTCTATTAATTTAACTATCTTTCGAAAGAATACTAGGATAATTCTCGTATCTTTCATTGGAGATGGACGTTACCTGCTCCACCGCTTTCTCAGCGGTTACCTAACAAGTTACTCCCAAGCAATTATCTCAAGTACCTAGGTAATCGTAACGGTGAAGAGACATAAATCCTCCCGAAAGGATTTCCCAACTGCGAGGAGAAATTGCAGTCCTAGACCGCAGACCTTCCCGAACTAAAGCCATTTAATAAAGTTGTGTACTATTACCCGGTCTAATGGCGCCGTTACATAACTGAGTAATTTGCATCCGACTGATTAACACTGACAAATGTGGCTCGTCGGCGATTGTAAATGGACTGTAACGTTTTAATGTGGGCCGAGGCGTGCATGATTCCATTTCAATTAGGTGGTGTTGGTTCGCACTGTTTTAAGGGAATTTTGTCGCTTTCGAAAAGAATTAATCCTTTGCAAAAATTAGTCGAGGATTGTTTTCTACGAGTATGCTTATTTCTTTTTGGGTAGCAGCAACAAAAACAAATAAGTTTAATTTAGACATTAACCAAGTGCACCAGATAGCACCATGTCGCGTGTTCTATTGTTAGTTGTGAGACTGATTACAGATGGTTAAGGGTCTATTTGTTACTATGTCGTCCTTCTACAGTGGTGACTAAACAGCGTTTCTTTATCTTCAATATTTTAACAAAACAGGCAAATGTTTATTTAAAGTAGATCAGTGAGCACAATGGTGTTCTCTTTCTCTGACAGTATCCAAGACTAATGACCTCTTTCTCTGATAGCATCCAAGACTAATAACAGATGCATAAGAATCTACTAAAGTTGTGATTAAACTGTGCTTCATTCCTCTCTGCGATATGGACCACTTGTTGTTGAAAATGGAACACAACCATATCTATGTAAGTAGGAGTTTAATCAATTATCAATATCGTGAAAGGATCAAAATCAACTTTGAAAACATACGGATAAAGTCTTTAACCTAATGTTTTTTTAGGGTAAACCGTACATGCCTAAGATTCTAACCTGTCACTTCTAGTATCGTAACTAAACAGTGCTTTTCTCTCTGCCATTTTCTTTAAAATGGACCATTTATTGATGAAAATAGAAACAATCAGATCTGTGTAGGTAGAAT